AATGTTTATTTTTGTGTATTGTGTATTTACGGTGAGCGTAAATAAGGTGCGCGGGGCGTACCTTGTGAGCCTTGGATACGAGGTTAACCCTCCTAGTACGTTGGGCGTACCTAAAGTACGCTAGGTGTACTCAAGCTTGAGACAAACCCTAAATTTTAAGATTTGGAACCTATTTAAACACCATTATTACACCAAGACCTCTTATATGACCAACCTCCTTCGTCCCAAAGCAGCTTCCACAAAACACTAACCCCTTTTTAGAGGATACTGAGTTTTGTGTGTGTTTTGGTGTGTGTTGGGTGCATTTTAAAGAAAAAGAGCTCTTTGGAGGAGGATTAGATTGCTTAGGGCTTGAAGATCCAGAACTATCTTCACCTTTGCAAGCTTCTAGAGGTATAAAGCTTCAAACTTTATGATTCCTTAGCTTAGATCTAGATTTAGGATTATGTTTGGTATGCTTTTGGTCCCTTGGTTTGGTTCTTGAGAGTAAAAGTTACTCCAGAAGATAAAGAAAATAGTTTTTTAAAGATAAATAAAATAGTTTTTTAATAGATATTTCGGTCAGGTTAGGTTGCTAATGATGTAACGCTCGGCTCCCAAGTAAATTCCTTAAAAACCTAAATGTTTATTTTTGTGTATTGTGTATTTACGCTGAGCGTAAATAAGGTGCGCGGGGCGTACCTTGTGAGCCTTGGGTACGAGGTTAACTCTCCTAGTACGTTGGGTGTACCTAAAGTACGCTAGGTGTACTCGAGCTTGATACAAACCCTAATTTTTAGGATTTGGAACCTATTTAAACACCATTATTACCCCAAGACCTCCTCTATGACCAACCTCCTTCGTCCCAAAGCAGCTTCCACAAAAACCTAACCCCGTTTTAGAGGATACTGAGTTTTATATGTGTTTTGGTGTGTGTTGGGTGCATTTTGAAGAAAAAGAGCTCTTTGGAGGAGGATTAGATTGCTTAGAGCTTGAAGATCCAGAACTATTTTCACCTTTGCAAGCTTCTAGAGGTATAAAGCTTCAAACTTTATGATTCCTTAGCTTAGATCTAGATTTAGGATTATGTTTGGTATGCTTTTGGTCCCCTGGTTTGGTTCTTGAGAGTAAAAGTTACTCCAGAACTTGTGTTGGTCATTTCTTGGTATTTTTAGAGTTGTAGAATCATAAAAATGACATCTTGATGGGTTAAGCTCGACCATGCATGAGTTGATGGTATAAATAAGAAGTTAGAGTGTTAGAAATGCATGTTGGGCTTCTTTGAGCCATGCAAAGGCATCAAGTTGATGACTTTATCATTTAAGACGTTTCCGAAGAACTAGATCTGTGATTTGGACGTTTGGACTGAAGGCATTAAGTGCTTAATGGAGTTTTGGGAATCACGGGCGTACGTTGGGCGTACATAGGCGTACACTCAGCGTAACGTGTTGCAGTACTATTTCCTTTGCTTTGTGAACCTCTACGTTGGGCATAACAAGGTGGTATGTCAGGCGTACTCACCAAATGGCCTTTTGGGTCATTCTTGGGCCTTAGGTCTTTTGGGCTATTAGTGGGCCTTAGGTTATGGCTTTTTGGGCCTAGATTAGGAAGGGTAAAAGGGTCTTTTACTCTTTGTGATAAGAATTATGTTTGGACTTTCATTTATTACCCAAAATAGTTATTAGGGTTGGGTTGACTGTGCTCAGTGTGAGGAGTCGTGGTAGCAGTAGCCCGAGAGTGTGATTTATGCATATTTTGATTGAGGTGAGTTTCCTCAGTGTATTTGTGGGTCGAAGGCACCAATGTCGGCCCATTGGATTATGTTATAGGATGGTAGTGATCTTCGTGACACTTACCGATATTCCTGTATGTAATTGTTGTATTTGTGACTCTTGCTAGTATGATTGTATGTTTAGTTGTAGGGGTGAAATAGACCTGTACCAATTGAAAGATATCGAAGGAGTCGGAATGGAATCGTGGGTGAAATAGATCCTTTGTATGTTATGTATGATATGTATGAATTATGTATGGTATGTGGTATTTGTGGAACTCACTAAGCTATATGCTTACGGTTTAAGTTTAAGTTTCAGGTACTTTTGGTTCGAGATGGAAAGGATCGGCCTGATCGAAGCGCATCCACCCATGTTTCGGTAATTTTTATGATTTTGGGATTTGTACTCTGATAATATTTTACTCAGGCATACTTTGATGGTTGTTTGAGATATTTAATTGTTCAGGTATTTTTCATTTATACCCTTAAATATGAAATTTATTTGCAAAATTGGTCCCTTTGTCATTTAAATGAAATCGTGTGTGCCTAGTACGCGGGACGTACTCCAGCTTATGTCGGGCGTAAGTGGATGAGGGTCAAACCCTAATTTTTAGGGTTTGATCTCTATTTAAGCATCATTATCTCTTTGAGACCCCTTCATTCACCAGACTCCCTCTCCCAAGACATTCATAGCAAACCCTAATCCATTGTGTGAGCATTTTGAGCTTGAGTGTGTGTGTTTTGGTGTCATTAAAGCAAAGAGAAGAGTGAAGAACCACCTTGGAAGCTCAATACCACTTAGATCCAAAAGCATCTCACCCTCAAGCATCATTTGGAGGTATAGAGTTCGAATCTTGATGAGTTAGCTGCTTAGATCTTGCTAGTTTAGAGTTTGTGTACATTTTAGTCCCATAGTTTGATCTAGTGGAGTATGCGCAACTCCAGGTCCTTGTTATGTAGTTTTTTTGTAGTTTTGAGCTCATAGATTCTTAAAAATGAGGGCTTTGGCATTCTTTTTGAGCCATACAAGATTTTTGGGACTTTGGATAACTTTTGGACCAAGGGTTTGAGTTTTTACCCTCTTGTATGCATGCAAATGGATAAAGTCAGAGACTTTATCCATTAGGATGTCCCTTTTAACTTGGATCTGAAGTTTGGTGCTTTAACTTAACAAAATAAGAGCTTAATGGAAAAGTGGAGGTTCAGCTCTAGTACGTTGGGCGTACCTGGAGGTACGTTGCGCGTACCAGGGTTCGAGCCTGTGGATTGCGAGGGTACCATCTACGCTGGGCGTAGAGGGGAGTACGTCGGGCGTACGCAACCCAGAAGGAATCTTTGAATTTTTCACCTTGACCTTGACCAAAATTTTGACCAAGTTTGACTTAGGGGCATTTTGGGTTTTTTAGCTATGAGTTGAGTCTAGGTCACCGTTTTCTGTATAGGTGACCTGTAGAGTTGACATTTGGAGCGGCGTTCTTTTCTGCTATCTTTTCGGACTGTGAGGTGAGTTTTTCCTCACTATACTTGTGGGTCGAAGGCACCAAGGCCGACCTACTGGATTTTTGTATCCTAGTTTATTGTCTTGATATTATGATGAGTATGTGTTAGATTGGTATATATGTATGATTACCCCGTGTTTATTGAGTATGCGTTAGATTGGTAGATCTATATGATTACTTGTGTTGTTGGTTATTGATTGTTATTATATATATCGATATGTTATGGTTTGTTGGGTTGAGACGGTCCTGCTTTATGCTGAAGGCCAAGATACCTGGGACGGTCCGGATAGACTGAAGGCATGCGAGGCGGTCCAGATAGGCTGTAAGCCCTGCGAGGCGGTCCAATCAAGCTGAAGGCTCATATATGCATGATGTTACCTGTATTGGTTGTGTGTGATACTTTGGGGGAAACTCACTAAGTTTTGGTGTACAATTTAAGTTTTATGTTTCAGATACTTCAAATGAACGGGGGAAAGCAAAGACGTGATCGTACACATCATTTGGTGATATGTTTAGAGATGTTGTAATACATGGATTTTGGAACAATTGTACTTGATCTTGGGTTTTTATTACTTGGGTTTGATTTAAAACAATGATTCTTCTTTAATTAAAAATATAAAAAAAATTATTGTGATTTTTGGGACATAACACACTAGTACTCCCAAACGAATCTTTTTATTTAAATTGAGTTTTTTTGTTAACAGCTAAAAATTAAAAGCTCTCAAACGCTCGATGTCAAACAAAATCCATATAATTATTTAGAGTAAATTACTGAAATCGTCCCTGTGGTTTAGTCAAAATTGCACGTTTGGTCCCTAACTTTTTTTTTGCACTCGGATCGTCCCTGTGGTTTGATTTTGTTGCGTTTTTCGTCCCTATGGTTTGGTAAAAATTGCATGTTTGGTCCCTAACTTTATGTATGTAAGGGACGAAAAATGCAACAAAATCAAACCACAGGGACGAAAAACGCAACAAAATCAAACCACAGGGACGATCCGAGTGCAAAAAAAAAGTTAGAGACCAAACGTGCAATTTTGACCAAACCACAGGGACGATTTCAGTAATTTACTCAATTATTTAATAGTCATAATCATACCACCCCTATGCAACTATAATTAACATATGTTCTAGCAAATAAATAACTATTTGTTATATTTGAAATGCTGCTTTGAAAGTTGGTGCGTGTAAAGTGGCAAAGCACGAGAATACATGTATTGAAAATCAACATGTGTTTATATATTTCGCATTTGATACTTTGGGTTTTCTCGCACCAGAGGCGGTGGAGATCCTCAACAAAGTTCAACGGGTCATGCATACTAATATTATATCTTCTAGATCCACAGAGTTGTTATCAAAAGAATTAGTTTTGTCATCCAGAAAGGACTAGCGACACAACTTGTTTCCCGTTTGACTTCCGTCGATATGTATTGACTTTTTATCATGTTCATAGATATTTCAAAAAATATATAAGAAAATTGTTAGTTTTCAAAAAAAAATTAAAATCAAAATAATGATGAATCACATAAAGTAAATATGAATTTCCAAGATCAATTTAACATTAAATACACATAATATATTACTATTAGTATTATTATATAATTTGAGTAAGGGTATTTTTCTTGTAAATTTATTCTTTACAATACATCCCTTTGATGGTGAATCTACAATTAAAATGCCCAAAAAAAATAAAACCCATCTTAAAATCTTGGAATCGCAAAAGAAAAAATGAAATCAAAACTTACTAAAATCCATTAACTTGTAGCTTCATCTTGAACTCGGTTCAACAACTCAACAACTTCATTCATAGTAGGTCGTAATTTGGGTGCTTCGGTAGTACAAAATGTAGCAATCTTGAAGAACTCCAAAACTTCACTCTCTTTTAAGTCTTGTTTCGATATACTAACATCCACCATTTCCATTTCCCGATTTTGTGACACCATTTTTGTAGCCCATTCAACCAATCGAATCTCTTTTCCATTTTCGCCTTTCATTGGCCAATTCGGTCGCCTAGAAGTGGCAACCTCGAACATGAGTATCCCAAAACTATATACATCTCCGGTAACAGTTGCCAAAGCAGCCCCATAAAAATACTCTGGCGGCATGTATCCCATTGTCCCGGCTACCTGAGTCGAGACATGGGAATGCGAGCCCTCAATTCTTCGAGCTAGCCCAAAATCCGCAATATGAGCTTCGAATTTCGCATCTAACAAAACATTACTAGCTTTAATGTCTCTATGAATTATGGGTGTATCCAAATTATGCATAAATGCTAGTCCTTTTGCTACTCCTTTGATGATATTGATTCTTGTACTCCAAGATAACGGTAACCTTACTGTTGACGTGTCATTCTGGGCTGATGACGTGTCGTAGAGCCATTGGTCGAGGCTACCCTTTTCGATAAACTCATAAATCAGGATCCGATCCGTTCCCGTTGCGCAGTACCCGAAAAACTTAACGATGTTTTCGTGTCGGATTTTTCCGAGTGTCTCCATCTCAGCCCGAAACTCTCGGTACCCTTGGAAGGCGTCGGCGCCGAGCTTCTTCACGGCGACGGTGACACCGCAAGGGAGGTTGGCTTTGTAAACTAACCCAAAGCTTCCGTCGCCGACGATGAGATCCGGAGAGAAATTTCGAGTCGCCTTGACTAGGTCGGACATCTCGATCTGATTTAACGACTGGTCAAACAGCTGGCTCTCGGCGACGCTAATGAAGGAGGTTGATGTACCGAGATTGGGTACAGTTCGGGTCGCTCTGGTTCGGGGTCGAGATTCCGGGTCACGGCGGCGATTTCTGGTTGTCCGGCAGATGAAGTAGAAGAAGCAGATGAGGAGGGAGATGAAAGTGAAGCTGGCCATGGCGGCGAGCACGGCTTGGAGGGTCGGATCCATGATAGTTTAGAGAGAGAAAATAGGGGGATTTTAGTGAGAGAGAAAGGGGTTTCAGTGGGAAGATGGAGGAACAGAAAGTGAGCCGCCATTAACGGGAAGAGAGGAAAGACGACGGAGTCAACGGGTGAGAAGGAAGACAAATCATCGAGGATTGGTGATTGAATATATTCGGATTGTAATACACGGTGAACTCATTTTCAAATGTATGAAAATAAGAAAATCAAAATGGTTGAAACCCAAACACTTTCTTTTTCTAAACTCTATAAATAATCATTATTTGCTTCATTTAAATTAAATTTAGAAAATGTTAATAAAATGCCATATACAATTCAAGGGTATAAAAGTAAATCTAATTTACTTTTGTCCACTTCTTTGTCATCATACTCTAATTAGTAATTACATTTCTCCCTTCCAAATGTTGCGATCATGACACCCTATACATTCTCGTACCCCATGAGTCCATCCATAACAAAAATATTGATAATATAGAAATGAAAAGTAAGTTATATTCTATCATCTTAGTTTCAAATAAAGACAAGCAAATAAACAACAAAAGTATTTCGCTATCACCTTGGCAACTTTAACGCGGTGTACATTGAAGCGGCATGTGCTCTTGGAAGACTCGGTCCAACTCTATTTTTCAAAATTCAAAGTAATATTTCTAACATTTTTATTTTATTTTTCTGTAGCTTTTTATCATTGTTTATATTTTTGTGAAAAAATTCTGAATAGTAAATTTATAAGATTATGCTATGTTCTTCTTATGTTCTATTAAGTTGTGTACGGTTAAATTTAAGCTAAAATGATAATGATGTATATATATGGATAAATATAAAAATCCATTCTTTTTACTTTTTTTTTTAAATATACTAATCTACTCTTAAGTCCCAGAGAGTCGCTCGCTATGCCACTCTCATCAAGCCTCTTACACACCATCCCCTACCGTGTGACAGAGGCTTGCTAAGATACATCTCATGCAGAGGGAGAGGGAGAGCGAGAGGAAACTTGGATTTTATTGGTTGGTGCTTTTGACTACAAAACCATTTGACCAATGTTTTTTTAAACTCTTTCTATTTTCATTAAAAAAAATGTTAGAGATGTTATCATTCCCTATGAAATGTTTAAAGAAAATGTACTAGTGAGGTGGCAGATAAAAAAAATGACATGACAGACAAAAAAAATGATGTGTCAAGGTATAAGGGTACACGTTGGAATAATTGAGTTCCTATTAAACTCAATATTCTAATATGGAGGATTCAGCTATCTAGTATTCCAACAAGGGAGAAGTTATCGATTAGGGGTATTATGGTTCCTTCTATCATGTGCCCGATTTGTATGGGTGCAGCGGAGACTATTGATCATATTTTTGCCGGTTGCCCTGACTTGAGAGATATTTGGGTTAGGGTAGGTATATGATGGGGTTTATCTCTTCCAGCTTAGATCTCGGTGCAGTCTTTAATCAACTGGTCGGATGATGTAAATTTGCGTAGAGGTCAAAGAAAGGCGTTTGATGCGGTCATTATTACTTCCTTCCGGTGTTTATGGAATTTTCGTAATACTTCTATTTTTGGAACGGTTTTACCCAAGAAGTCGGTTATATTTGATGAAGTTGTTGAGAAATCCTTTTTTTGGATTTCTAATAGATGTAGTAGGGTAAATTTAAGGTGCTAGAAGTGTTACCACTCCCTCGAACCTTAATCTACACCTTAATACTATATGTTTCAAATGAGACTTGAACCCTTAAATTCAAAGAGGGATGACACACACCATACCGCTAAGCCAAAGACTTTTTGGTTGTTTCCTTTTTAGTTGGAGAATTTTTCTTGAATAAATGTTTGATTTATGGTTTTATGTATAAGTGAAAAAGAACAAATAAATGTTTGTTTAATAACCTTTATAGATTAAATTGTGTGAGATAATACTAAAAATTAAAAAAGGGTAATGATTTGTACACAACATTTTTTAACAATACACAACAATTTATGCATTAGATAGTTTTGTAATATACAACTGTATAAATCATAAATTGTTGTATATTGCTAAAAAAAATGTTATGTATGAGTCATCACGCTTAAAAAAATATTGTTATAAGTTAAAGTGTAAATGATATCTCTTATAAGTCAACAAACAAAAAATGTGATATATAGAAAATATAACAAGCATCGTTGCCTAAGGTTGTCAAGATTTGAAATCTTATCTGGAACCTTTTTATCTTTTGCAAAATCATGATTGTTAGATTGGAACAATATCATAAAATCCTACCAAAATAAAATCATATTCAAATTTGTTTGCAAGGTATTGTGTATGTATTGTACATTATAACTTGATGTTGATTAAGACGTTAATAATGTAATCAACTTTTTCTTCTTAAACATGAATGAATCAACCATCATTTTTGTTGTTGTAAACTGTAAAAAACAAAAAGAAAACATCTTGATTAGAAAAAGAAAAAAGATCATTTTTTAGAAAGACAAATGTTTATAAAAAAAAAGCGCTAGCAAGTCGCTTGGCAAAAAACAACCATAACAACATCTGAAACAACAAAAACACAACCGACTAGGAGATTACATGAAACACAAAGACGGGTTTTGAAGACATCTAACCTAACTTAAACCTTAATAAGACTTAGACGAACCCCAATGAAAAGATGCTTCATCGGATGGTCTTTAGCAAACAAAGCCTTGTTTCGAAACATCCAGATATGCCACCACATAACAAAGAAAACACCTTCCAAAATCTCCGTAACCAATTTTCTCAAATAAAGATCATCAAACATAGAAATCCAATGGAAGAAAGAATGAAGTAAAGGCACATCAATCTCCCACCATCTCAAAATTTTCTCCAATAATAACGAAGCAACCACGAAAGTAAAAAAAGATGATTACCTGATTCCACACCATTCCCACAAACGACACAATTCAACGACGTTATCTCCATACCTATTTTTAAAATATTCAATCTGATAAGAAGTTTATCAAGCATCAACTTCCAAGTAAACACATTAACATTGCTATGAAGTGATTTAACCCATCTAGTTTGGAAATAACTTGAACCAAGCAAGATCGAGTTTATATACAAATGAGAGGAAGAAACCGGGAACACACCTGTCGAATCTAATTTCCAAACCTAATTATCAGGAAAAGTAGCAAAGGAAATCGAATGCAACAAAACCCCAAGATCTTCACATTGCACGCTTTCAACTCTACCCATAGGCGGTTTGCGAAAAGAAGAAAACCAAGAATCATGACGCATCTTAAATGAAACAGTGACATCCTTAAATTGTTCCAAAGAAAAAAATATCGGGAACCTCGCATACAATGGAATATCTCCCAGCTGCAGATCCTTCCAAAAAGAAATCCGCGCACCATCACCTAACACCTGCCTACAATTAGACAATAAATCCACCCTTTCTCTTGAAGATGAGACATAGATTTAATAATGTCTAACCAAATAAAAAATTTACAAGCTGGAAAATCCCGATCAAGAAAACCATGATGATCATGAATAGCTTTAACCACACGAACCCAAAGAACATCCAAGAGAGTTCTAAAACACCAAATCCATTTAAACAAAAGGGCCCTAATTAAAGCAAAATAAATTATTAACACAAAGACCTCCATTTTATGTATAGGACATAACTTTCTCCCAACTAACCCAAGAAATCTTTCTTCATCTTTATCAGCACCCAAAAAGAACCTACTCCTCAAAGATTCAAGTTTAGCCAAAACACCCATAAGAACCTTGTAGATGGACATATGGTATGTAGGAAGAGAGCCTAACACACATTTTGATCATGTACAACTAAAGGCATAAGATCACAAAGGAAATATCATGAGTGTGATTTACCTAATTCAAGATAAATTGATGAAGTGATGATACTATATGAGACTTATTGCAACTTGTGATGTTCAATTTCTGTAACACTTTTTTTAGGTATACTTCTTTTAAGGTTGTCTCTTTGTAGAACTTAACAATTTGGAATTTTATGGTGAATATGGCATGGTGGGGGAAGCACCACAACGTTGTTATAGCTGATATGAAACGCGCACTTATAATGCACCACGACGTGACAAGGCCATGGCCAGAACTTGGCGACATCTGGAGTGAAAAACCCTAATTTTTGGGCCTAGTGCCATATTTAAAGGATATGATGGCTAGGGTTTGCTCACCCTCAACCTCCATCACCCTCTCAAGTCCATAAATAAACCCTAGCCCTATTGCATTCATCTTGGAGCTCATTTTGGTACTTTATGGTTTTAAAGAAGGAAGAAAGGTGCTCTAAGTCTAAGGATCCATCAAGCCAAGTCCTTCACTATCTTCTTGTGCACATCTTGGACCTTTGTAAGTCCACAAGTTCTCATCTTTTTGTTCACCACTTCTAGATCTAGGCTTTTAAGCACTTTTCTCCATGTTTAAGGTGGTTTGAGTGGATAGATTCCATAAAGTTGGCAACTCTATGGATCATTGAGGTCTCTATGTGGTCACATGTTCTAGATCTGAGGTTCTATAGAGTTTTGGATCCATGCATGGGGTTTGATCTTATTTTTACCACTTTGACCTAACTAGAGTATAATACATTAAGGGCTAAACCCTAACTATATGGTACAAAATTTTATTTGTAAACCAAGAAAATCTAGACTAGCTAATACGCAATAGGCAGTGTACCTAATCGAGTAATAAAATAGCTCAAGTAAGTCGATTATCGAACACAAGGAACAAGAATGATTAACAACTAAAATATCTACTAAAGTTAACTAATTAAACAAGCAAATAAGGGGGGGGGGAGGGGGTTCTGGTTTTTCAAGTCAAGATTACTTAAGAGCAATTAACAAAAGCAAATTAAACTTAAGAAGAAATAGAAAACGGTTTTTAAGACAAGATTTTTAAAAGACTTTCGTTTAGATACAATTCACCAAGTATTTATGGTTGATTTTATGGATAGTGCAATGAATTTTATGTTTTGTTGCATACCGATTCCTAATGTGACTAGAATATATCGG